TAAGGAAAATTTAAACATCAATTAAAAAGGAATATATACTACAGGATCCTAGATAGGGATATTATAAAAATGTGAATTTCTTTCTAATTAATGTATAATAAATACTATATTTAACTAATTGTATTATAATAATAATAAAACATATTGAGACCTTACTCTGCCCTAGGCATTGGTTTGAGAAATTAGCATATGTTAATTTATATTTTAAATCTAATTTGGTGATTATATAAATTTACATAAATTACCTTATACTTAATTTAATTTTCACAACTCTATGAGGTAAGTAGTGATATTATCTCCATTTTATAGATGAGGAAGCTGAAGCACAAAAGGGCTACAGAATTTTCCCATTGACACTGTGATAATAAGTGACAGTTGAGAATTCAAACCCAGGCAGATGTTTTGCAGAGCCTAAGCCTGTAAGAATAATATTACAATAATATTACAAGAATTCTAACCAAAATACTAGGGAGACTTTTCCCTTGGGAGCATGGCAAAGTAGTTATCTATAACAAGAAGCAGATGAAATTAATTTTTTACTGTTTTTTAAGGATAATATTAATATAAAAGTAGAGAGTTAACTCTGCCAGATATTCAACAAAATTCTAAAGCTGTGATAATTAGAAGTGTACTTTGTCCCAAAGATAGACACAGGTCAATGGAGCAGTTTAAAATTAGGATGACATATATGTGAATTTAATATAGGTAGAGGAGGTTTTACAAAGCATGAGGAAAGGGAAAATTATTTAATAAGTGCTGTGAAAATTATTGATTAGCTTTTCTGAGGAAAAAAATGAATCATAGACTACAAACCAAAATAGTTTCCAGATTAATTAAATATAAAGATACACAAAACACTTTAAAATTTTCTAAAATTCTAAAATAATTCTAGTGTCATTTCTAAGTGGAAAATAAATTCCTAAGCATAGAAAAGAGCACTCATTTTACATCATTTAACAGATTTTTATTAAGCACCTATTATGTGCCAGGTACTGTGAACATATAAATGGAAAACACAGTATTTTTCTAAAACCACACAAAAAAATTAACAAGCAAATATTCAATGTGAAAAGATCTTTTTAGTAATCATAACACTGTATTAATATCCTTAACAAATAACTCCTGTAAGTTGATAGAAAAAATGCCGAATTCCAGTAAATGTATGAGGAAGAAGTACAAACTGATAATTCATGAAAAAGAAAAACAAACACTCCACAAATATTTGTTTAAAAAACAGTTTCAAACTCATTAATAATCAAAGTAATGCAAATTTAAACATGCAATCATGTATAACAACAAACTCACAAAGCAGATAAGGGTTTCAGTGAGACAAGGTCTTTCAAATGCCGTTAATACTTCAAATGCTGTTTACTAGGAATAAAATTCATAGAAAAAAAGTCTGCCTCTACATAAAAAAGATTTTTTTTTAAAAAGATTTTTTTAAAGCGTCATACCCTTTGACATCTTAATGCCTCTCTTAGGAATCTGTCCTAAAGGGTAATCAGAAATGCTGGCAAAAGAGTCATGTGAAAAATGTTCATCATTAACATTGTTTTTCATACAAACAAAAAACCGGGGGAGGGGTAAAGTCTAATTATCTAAGAATAGATGCTGTTTTGGTGAATAGTTGCACTTCTATATGAAAGTGAAAGGGTTAGCCGCTCAGTTGTGTCCGACTCTTTGTGATCCCATGGACTGTAGCCCATCAGGCTACTCAGTCAATGGAATTCTCCAGGCAAGAATGCTGGGAGTGAGTAGCCATTCACTTCTCCAGGTGATCTTCCCGACCCAGGGATCAAACCAGGATTTCCTGCATTAAAGGCAGATTCTTTACTGTCTGAGCCACCAGGGAAGTCCAGCATTTCCATATAATGAAAGACTAACATACTCATGGATTAAATATTTAAGATTAAATATATTAAACAATGTTTAAAGTACTTTAATTGTATACATATGCAATTAAGTGAAAAGAGAAAAACATTAAATTGTATTATCTCTTAATTATGTAAAAAATATATACAAAGAATAGATTAAAAAGAAAGTATGCCAGATATTTTGTCTAGGGTTTAAAATTATGAGTAAGATTTGTTAACATTTTCCCGCTTCTAAATTTTCTATTATGAGCACCAAAAGGTGGAGTCAGAAGTTAAGACTATAAAGTGTGTTAATATTTTAAAAGAAAATATCAATGGATATATCAATCATTTGTCTTGTAATAACACTAATTTAACTCCTCCCATATTCCTAACTATAATATTTTATATTGATATTTGACTGCCATTTTGCCTAATTAGCATAGATATTGTTGTATTAATATTCCTATAACAAGGTAAAGAAAAGTTAGGGGAAATGTTTTCTACAATATCAGTAAAATAACATAAGCTCCTGAAAATGTACAACCTGAAATGGCAACACCAGAACCATATTTAAAGTTGAATATAGGGAGGATTCCCCTCAAGAAGTCAGCAAAATTTTTTGCTCCATTGTAAAAGTGATTAAACAAGCTTGAAACAGACCCATTATTGTTAAACACAATAAGATCATGGATTGTTATCATTATTATTATATACTATCATAATCAGACCATGAATTGTCATTATCATTAGAGATACATTTAATGTATTTTAACAAAGCCCATTGCCATAAACAAGGAAGCCAGCTGTTCCTCTGTGGACCCCCAATTACGCTTTAGCAGTGAGTGCTAAAGCAGCAGTCCACTCATTCTAGAGCACAGAAAACTCACCAGGAAGTGAAAAATCCCATTTTCCACATGTTTTAAAGCATGTTAATACTTGGCAACCCACTCCAGAGTTCTTGGCTGGAAAATCATATGGACAAAGGAACCAAGGAGTCACAAAGAGATGGACACGACTGAGCTTGCACGCAGGTAAACGCATACTTATTTCATACTTTTTAAAGTGTGTACACTTAGAATCCCTCTCTACTCATTCAATATTTTGCCTAAGTAGAGGGAGATTTACTTTATCCTTTAAAACTAACTTTTCCTTCCTCCAAAAATATAAAGTCACTGTCACCATTTCAAATAAGAAAGAAAGCTTAATTCATTGTTACCTGAATATCTTTTTATTCTGTCTTGAAATTTTGCATAAAAACATTTTCATAGGGAAGGGAGAGGAGAAACTGTCATGAATGATACTAGGTAACTATAATAACCTTTTCTTTTTAATTTTGCCATTTTCAATCTACATTTGGGTGGTCAATGATGGGGGTGAGGGTGTAAACAAATGTCATAAAATGAACAACTGGAAACCAAACTCTCATAAATCTCTTTGTGAATAAAAAGCCTAACTTTTAATTGAAATGAGAGTGAAATCATCTCTGTCCACAGAAACAGTGGCAGAATCATTCCTGAATTATTCCAACACTTTCCAATCTAACTGGTCAATCCCTGTCCATCAGCAGAGACCAGAGTCACTTCTGGCTGCCTCCTCCCCACCTTTTAGACTTGGCCTTGTAGCTCAGTTCAGGAGTTATAGAGCCACCAACAGGACTTCACCTAAGTCATGTAACTCTTGCCTACTCTCTTCTTTGGCGGTTTTCTGGCTCATTCTTCTTACCGTGCAAACCCTGATCACAGAACCTAAAGCAAGGTGTGCAGTTGAGGGGAGTGTTGCCTCCATTCAAATCAGAGGGGAGACTTTGCATATCTGCTTTCTGTGTTTGCTGGGAATAAAGCCATGGGAGTGGTGACTGGGTGCACCCAAGATAACATTGAAATGTCCAGATGCACAGACTTGTTTGGAGAATGTATATAGGCTAGAGATTGGGGTATAGGTGTATGTGGGTGTGTATCAAGGCCTTGACATCCAGATTCAAGGAACATCTCGCTAAAATGTATCTGACTTCAGACACCAGACACACACCACCCACAGGAAGTAGCAGGTCCATCAGTTCTCTAATGTAATTCTAAAATCAAATTATGTAGACAAAACACACCGGCTGATCTCTGGCCGTCTCTGTTTGGGTGATTCTATAATTCCTGGCATTTTGACCAACTGTAGTAAAGATTCTTTTGCAAAATGTAGAAGAGAACAGGGTATGACACCTGAAAGGGCTCTGAAGTGTTTCAACTTACCCTGTCCATGTTACAGATGAAAACACCATGACCCACATAAGTGGAGCCATTTGCCCCAATCACCCAGCACACAGCATGTTAGGGACAGGGTCAGGAGCAGATGCTAGGCCTCTCAGTAACCAGGTCAGGGTCTCTGGTCCAGCCTGCCTGTTTCCTCCTCATGGCCTTCTGTGGAACTTCTGTGTCTGCTTGCTACATGGTCTTCATATGGTTCCTGCAGCAAGAATGAAAGGGTGAGATGTCTGTCAACACAACGCCCTGCTTCTTCCCATCCCAGATCCAATTCCTGCAGACCCAGAGTAGAATCTGGCCACCTGTTCTCAAGAGTGGGGACAATTCTGCCTGCCCCAGTCACTCCATATGGAAACAGAGAAAGAGTCCCACACTAGAAGTTGAGATAGGACTTCCACCTTTGCCATCTTTTAAATTAAGCACCTGTGGTGCAAGGCACGGGGGCAAGTACCTTAATTTCTTTGTACCTTGCTTGACTCACCATCCCCTCCCCCCAAAACTATGGGTGGGAATAATTAATACCTGCTCTACCTATTTCTGTAAGATCAAAATGGAAAGATGTCAGTGTAATGGTGGTTTACTAGTTGTGAAGAGAAAATGTCCGGTGTGAGACGGAGATTTCTGGGGCCATGTTTTTTAAGTGAGGTCAGTCGAACTGGTTTCCCATGATGAACAGGGCCTCAAGGAAGGCTTGTGTGTGTGGATGGGGGTGGAGGGACGCGAGTCTTAGCTGCGCTTCTTCCCTGGGGGCAGACCCCGAGCCGGGGTGGGGCGGGGGTCCACTCAGACTGCCGCGCCCTCAAACCAACCCGGCCTCTGCCGCTCCCCAGACAAGTGCCTCTTGGGGCTGCTTCCTTAACAAATGAAAAAATAATGTCCTTGAACCAAGAGTGAAACTGAACTATCTAAGGAAAACACTGTGAACAAACACAGAGGGCCGAGGAAAACCATCTGATCAGAGCAGCTACCCGGGAGCGCGGCAAGACGAAGGCGGCAGCTGGGCGGGAGGACGAGGAGCCGGGCCATGTCCACCACAAGATGCCAAATGGTGGGCTTCCTGCTGTCCGCCCTGGGCCTGGCCGGCTGCATCGTTGCCACGGAGATGGACATGTGGAGCACCCAGGACCTATACGACAACCCGGTCACCGCCGTGTTCCAGTACGAAGGGCTCTGGCGCAGCTGCGTGCAGCAAAGCTCGGGCTTCACCGAGTGCCGGCCCTACCTCACCATCCTGGGCCTGCCAGGTAGGCGTGGGCGCAGCTGAGGCCGGGAGCCGGCTGCTGCTTCCACCGCAGCCCGGAGGGACCTCGGAGTTGGGCGCAGGGCAGGACCCTCGCGGCACTGGCTCCCATCAGAGGTGTAAGAGGAGAAGTTGGCCCCGTGTCAAAGAGGGCTATGTAGACTTAGGGGAGAGCACCCAAGATTTTACACTCTGGTCAAAGGAATCGCCAGTGAGGAAGCGGGTCATGAGAACAAAGGGGCTATGGTTCGTGGCACTAGAAGAGACAATATTTCTCAAGGAGAAAAGTAATCGTGTGCATGTATGTGCGTGTGACTTGCTCTTGCCTGCACATACCTGGGGCTAGGTAAGATGGTGAATATTTTCTTACCATAGAAAAAGTTTATCAGGAGTTAATATAATTTCATTATCAACTTGGTTAATTTTTCCTTTGAGAAGTCAGAGTTTCAATCAGTGCCATAAAGTATATATTGCCTTTAAATTACAAATATCCTTTCTCTGCATTTGTGTTGAGAGGTTCTGGGGTGCACTCTTAAAAAACAATGCACGTCAAAATATAATTACAAAACTATAATAATTATAATAATCTCAGAACATAAATATAATTATAAATGACATCCTTTCACCCCTGAAGATGATATCAGCTAAATCCTTGTTTCTAATAGATAATTGGTTCAAATAGGAATCATAGGAACTTTGCATTCTAGATATTATGGGACCTCTACTTGATTTTTTTTTTTAAAAAAAGCAAAGAAAGAAATAAAAGGTTAGGCTAATCAGTGGCCTCAAGGAGTGGCCCTGATGTGAGTTTGTTGAAGAAAAGAAACCAGGGTTTTGTATCTCTGAAACAAATACCTCATGGACAGGGAGATGGGGATAAATTTGCAGGAAACTGCAAGGCCTGTGAAGCCCTTGAAATTGAATTGTGAAAAGCAATTCAATTAATTATCTCCATTTGCAGAAAGAACTAGAAAGTGGGTGTCAGAGTAGAAGTGGGGTGCTTATTCCATCTTTAGAAGCCACTTGTATTGCAAAACAGACTGATCACTGACTGTTAAAGCAGTGATAAAGCAGTAAGGGAGGCTGGCTGGAGGGAAGGAAGCTCCAGAGAGGGGCTGATACTACAGGGCAAAGGTCAGAAGGGAGGAGATGCAAGACCATGGATTGTTGAGTTGCTAGCTACACCCAGTTTTAACTATTAAATAAAAAAGTAAGAATGAACTTGTATTCAAAATTAAGGCATGACATTCCATGACTTCAGCTCAATTACCTCTTCCCAGGACCCCATCACACATTATCAATCTCTGGCTCATTCTGTATCTTTCCACATATGAGGATCCGAAATAGCCCCACTCTCCAACATGGCCAGAACTCACTCTCATTGTTTTTCCTGTTCTACTGAGGGATCCCATCATCCCTAAGCCCTCTCAGAATCTCTCCTCAGCCCATCAACAGTCTACTCTCTGCAGAACAAAATTCCCTCCCTCTCACCTGTCCAAGACCAGCCTCTCCACCAGGGCTCTGAGGACCCTGCACCCTCTTGTCTGGCCACCCCTGCTGATCAGCCCCTCCCCTTCTTGCCTCTTTCATCTTTCCTCCTCACTCATGCTTATATCATCTTTTACTGGAAAACCTTCCTGATTCAGAGCATTGTCAAGTTCTCTCTCTCCCTAGCTCACTGATGATCAAACTGAAAGACAAAGTTTTTCTCCCATCCCTCCCTCCTCACTCTTAACCTCTCACATTCCGGTTTCTATCCTTTATTCCTTAGAATGTTTGCTTTTTTGACTATGGCAGAAGGTCAGGCAGAATCTTTCAGCCACCAGCTTCCGGTTCTCTGCTCTCCTCTCCCTGGAAACACCTTCCATGGTCCCTCACTCTCAGCTGAACTAGGTGCAGCTGCGACAGCCTGACACACAGCTCCAGCGTCACTCACCTTCCTTCCGTGACCCGTCTCTTACCAGCCTGCTGCCCCCAGCCCGTGCTTCTCCCTTCAGAGAGGGAACCCCTGCCCTGCCTGTCTGCGTCAGAAATGCATCCCACCAAAATCAAGGAAAGCCATTTCCTGTGACTGAGTTTGTGGAAAAAGAGATACTTTAAATCACTAATCATGTGCGGCCAAGGAGAAGAGTTTGGATTTAAGAGTAGCCAGTCCTCAATGCAGCAGGAGTGACTACAGTGCAAATTGGCATCCTGAAATACAAATATTTGTTTGATGACTTAAGATGTGGCTGACTGACTGAGGTAAGGGAAGGGCGGGAGGATTACTAAGAGGAAAAGACTAGGAAAAAAAACTCAAAAGCTGCAGGCAGGATCATAAGGCAATGAAGAAGCCAGAGAGGAGGCCAGAGGATGGCTTGTGGATACTTATGGTGCTCCCAAAGGGGGTTGAAAGGATTAACATGAACCAGCCAGGACCCAGTGCCTGGAGGGGATGCGGCCACCAGAAACAGTTGCTGAAAGCATATTCTTGAGCTTGACAGACGGCCTTGGGAAGAGACACCTGAAGCAGAGGAGCTGGGAGGAATACCTGAAGGTAAAAATGGAAGGTTGCAGAGAGTTTAATTTTGACTTAGAACTCAGGGAGGAATGTTATCCTCCTGCAGACAAGTAAGGCTTTAAGTGCTATAAAGGCATGAGGTAGATACCATTTTAATGCTTTAATTATCATAATCACAACTACCAATCATTTAATTCTTCTTTGCTCTTTACTTGCAAAAAATCTCACTTTTCATTCATCTGATAAAAATGTATCACATTTACTTGGAACTGACAGCCATAGAGTAACTTAATTCCATTCATCTAGCTGTACTATACCTACAGAGAGATGAATGAGGTAAATGGTGGTGGTACCAGGACTGTTTACCTGTATATTACCAGCACTGTATAATTTATAGCCCAGGATTCTCTGCACTGGATTCCAAACAGCCAATGTAGCATGCAATTCTCCAAAGACAGTGCCCAGAAGTAAAAACAGCTATGGTTTATTGGACTGCACATAAACTCTCCAGTTTAATCTTCACAATAATACATGGAAATATGTATTAGCTTTATTTTTACAAAAGTGAAAACTGAGGCTCAGAGAGAGTGGCAAGGTAACATGCCCAAGTTCCCATGGATAGAGGATGGCAGAAGTAGGCTATGAACACAGACTGAAAGACTTCCACGTTGTGTCTTTTCCCTGCCCACACTCGTTCCAGCTAGAAGGGGCTTCTTTATGGTTGAAAGGATTGGTCTAGGCTTGAGCACATAAAAGTAGAGGGTGCACTGGCACTCTGACCCATTGATAGTAATATCATTAACAATGCACAATCAAGAATATTAAGTATAAAGATACTTATAAAAATACTAATTCCTATTTCCCCTCCCTGGAGATTGGAGACTGTAGGAGGAAACAGCAAAGGGCTGTCAACGGACAAGATGGAGAGGAGGCAAAAGCCTAGCAAACTCATGTTTCTGGCCTCCATGATGGTATCAGAGTCAAGTGATGTTTTCTATAACATGTTTGCAAATATAGGACTGAATCTGCTGCTGTAGCAGGATCCTGTGGTTAGAAGCAGATGAGTTGGGATCCAGGGCATAGCTTGGCCACCTACATCTTGACCTGACTTTCTCTAGGTCTGCAGTGCCTCACAGGAAGGCATTTGTGTAAAGATGCTCTGTGACCCATTTACAAGATGTGGCTCTTTTTATGTTTTGGCCTTACCTTGCGGCATCCAGAGATCTTAGCTGCCCAACCAGAGATTTAACTCTCCCTGCTTTCATTCAAAGTGCTGAGTTTTAACCACTGGATCTTCTGAAAAGTCTCTACAAGATCTGGCTCTTGGCATCATTAAATCATTACTGTCATGTCTACACCACCCAAAGCTCTCAGTTAGGATATTTGATCTTCCAGGTTTTTTTCTTCTCCAAAGTCAGATGCCTCTTATGAATCTAAATATCTAAAGTAAAGATTTATTTAAGGTCCTTCTTATCTGCTTTCCACCCCCCATCCCCCTGTGTTCTGAGCTCTTCACTGATTCTCAGCCCCATCGCAGGCATTGAAGGTCTTGATTTTTTTTCACACAACTGACTGCATTTCCCCTTTACCACCTCAATGTGCAAAAACAACAGCCACTGGAGAGCTAGGGAGTTTCCCATCAACCTGTCAATCATATTGACACACACAACAATGGGGGTGTTTAAGGAAACCATGTTTAACCCAGGGAACAGTTTCACAAAATCTGAAATCCACAAGGAAAAAAAATCTGAAACTGCTCTTTTATGTATCCTTTCGAAAGGAGCTATCTTGTTCATTTCTTCTTACTACTAGCTAATGTTTCACATAAAGTCTAGCGCTCCTGATGCTGTGGAACCAGCATGTCTTTCCTCAATGTCCAGTGGAAGAAATTGGCCCTGAAAGGTAGAGAGACTAGTACAAGTTAGTTGTAAAATTGAAATGAGATCTGGAGGAACCTCTTGGATTTGGGTTAAGATGCTTTCCCTTTCTTCAAAAAAGAGACATGTTTTAGCACAAACATGATTTTTTAAGTATGTGGACAAACATGTGATGTATACACATTATGGCACATCTGAAGGAGATTCCACAGAGAACTGAGAACACATCTACAAAGCCCAAGAGAACCTGTACCTTGAGTGTAAAAGGAGGCTGTTGCTCTGACTTCTTGATTCTCAAAACTATGTAGACCCAGGAATCAGGATGCCTCCTCAGCTTGTGGTTGTAAAGGTTGTTACTATGGGTTTTTTTTAAATGTTTATTTATTTACTTGGCTGCACTGGGTCTTAGCTGTGGAACTTGGAATCTTCAGTCTTCACTGCAGCTTGCAGGATCTTTAGTTGCAGCATGCAAACTCTTAGTTGCAACATGTATGCCGGAGAAACGTGTGCTAAGTCACTTCAGTTATGTCCAACTCTTTGGAACCCCATGGACTGTAACCCCCCCAGGTTCCTCTGTCCATAGGATTCTCCAGGCAAGAATATTGGAGTGGGTTGCCATTCCCTTCT